TGATTGGGCAAACTAAAACTAATCAATTGGTTATGTCATAGAGTATGACGGTTGATAGAATACATTAACGTTTTGTATTGATTGATTGTGTATATGAGCTTTGTGTATATACGTTGTGTGTGTGGGAGGAGATAGGGGATGTACTCCACGGTTTAGGGGAAGATAAGGGATGGACCTCTAAACCGGATGTTGTTTGGGAAGAGATAGGGGATGGACTCCACTAATACAGCTCATATGCTTGTTAGTTAACGTGTTGATACAGCTTGTATGTTTATCTATGGAAGTGTTGATACAGCTCATATGCTTATCTTTGAAAGTCTTGATATAGCTAATATGCATATCTGTTGAAATGTGGATACAGCTTGTATGCTTATCTATTGAGATGTTGATACAACTAGTATGTTTATCTATTGTAAAATGGGAAACGTTTAATATGAGTCACTGTCTCATATAAGTGGTTGGCCAGGTTCTGAGCCGTTGATGTAGATTGTGAAATTGATAAGGAATGGAAACTGAAATGAAACATGAACATAGTGGTCATGAAATGGAAATGGGTTATGAATTGATTTATGAAAATTGAACATTTATCAATTGCTAATGTCTTAGTTATTGCTCATACTGTGTTTAGCATATCTCTACTGGGCGTTGGCTCACCCTTTATGGGACATTATTTTCAGGTACAGGTAGTATGCCACCTCCAAGGACATAGCTTGGATGATGATGAGGGTTGAAGACTCTTTTTGTTCATTTTGTTTGTATTACATGTATATCAAGCCAAGGGCTTATTTTGTATAAAGTTAGCACTCTTCTTTTGTGTAACCAGGTGTTGACTTGGAAAGCTGTAAGCCCATAGGACATTTGCTTTTGTTGTTAACATGTAATACAGTTGTAAGAATTACTCTGATGAATAGAAATGGTTGGTTTCTTTTATATCAATGCATGTCTATAGTGATAGATTTTATGTATTTTTTTGAGGGCGTTACAACAAGTAACAAAGAAAACATATAAAAATTCAATAAAATGGTAAAATTGAAACTACAACCCCGCACAATATAATTAACTTTGATATAAGTAACTCAGGCTGACTATGTACTTTATTCACTTAATTTTAACCAAACTTTGCCAAACTAATTAAAAGATACTTCCGCCAAACTAATTAAAAGATACTTCCACTGTCCCATATTATTTGTCCATCTCTCTTTTTTTGGATGGCTCAAAATACTTGTCCATTTTAAAAAGTCCAAACATAAAACTCTAGAGAATTCTAAAATTACCCTTTAAAAATAATTATAAATATACTTAACAATGAAAATAAAACGGGGAGCATGATAAGTTAATATATTTTAATTTGATTTTAAAGCAATAATTACATACCTTACTAAAAAGTTAAAATTTCAAAAGAGACTATTATTGTGAAACGGAAGGCGTACCATTTTGTTCATAAATTTTATATAAAATAATATCATCTTTTTGTGAAATCAGTACTCTATTGTGACTCATTATTTAAAAATAACACTTCATTCTAGATGAAATTTATTCATAGAAAGTTTGTTTGTGTATATTTATCTTACAAGAGAGGATACAAAATGAAGCACAGCAAGTACTGTGTGCAAGTTCTTCTAAATAAAAAAAATAAAAAAATTACAAGTATTCATCTCTAAAATTATCGATAATTATAAAATTTTAAATTATTTTTTCATAAGTTGTAAAGAAAAGATACTTAAAAAGAAAGTAATTTTTTATTAAAAAGAAAAGAAACAAAAAGTCACAAAAAGCAATTACAATAAATTATAGGATAATCTACCAGTCAGTCTTGCTTTTTTGAGTTATTAGCTATTAGGGACTGTCTTATATTTTTATGCACCATTAAGTCCTATTATAATTTTCTTTGTCATGACCCAACTCCTGGATGCTTAGGGCTGAAATCGCAACTTATTAATTCTAATTGCACAAATTAAGTGGCGCAAAGTAAGAAAATAATTAAAATGATAATTAACTTCATTAACTATTCTACTATTTAAATGCATGATTAGTTGTGGTATTAATTAAATATTTAGAGTGTCACATTCTCTCATTTTTTCCCTTTTTTTTTTCTTTTCTAGTTTCCCATTTTGTTTTTGAACTCCAAATTGCGAACCATGATTTGGCCACCAACCACCACTTTCGATAGCCAGCGACCACCTCTGACCTTCTGCAACCATTACTGACCTCCGACAACTACCTCCGACAATATTTTTTTTTTGGCCATTTTTCATCTCCAACACGTTACTAACACAACCACCTACTCAGATCTGGTGGCGATGAGAGAAAAGAGGGGGGGGGGAAATGAAGAGAATAAAGGAGAAAAATGAGAAGCTATTACTAGAGAATAATTCTCATCATTTTATGCTATTACAAATCAAGACAAAGAATCAGAAGTCAAATTCAGTGATAAATTTATCCTGCAACAAATCTCAACCAGAGTTGCAGTGATAAATTTATCATTGTTGAATTTGTTAAAAAATTTACAAATAGCAAACTTAATTTGAGAGAGAGGGGCATCACAACATTATATTATGAAGCATTGATAAATTTATTTATGTTGTATGTACTCTGTCATTCCATTGATAAATTACCAACACTTACACCTATAAATTTATAATCTGATAAATTTATCATTTATAAATTACTGAGTGATAAATTTATCACTGAATTAAGCAACAATTTTATAAGATTAGTTACACGTCTGTAGAAGATCAACAACACTTTTTAATGCACTAATTAAAATACTTTGCATCCTAAACCGATGATGGAGAAATATGGTGGCAACGACGATGTCAAAGATGGTAGATTAATAATAGAGGATTACGATGTTAAAGCCAACAGATGAATGATAGGGGATGAGCAGCGGTGATGGCAACGAAAGAGAACGACGGTAGTGTTAGGCGAGAAAGGAGGGGAACGAGGCGTTGGTTGAGGCGAGTGTTGTTGACAATGATAGACGTAGATAGTGGTTGAGCCGAGCGACATATATGGTGATGAAGGAGGAGGAGATGGTGTGCTAGTGACAGAAATATGAATGTGAGAGAGAGAGAGAGAAAGAGAGAGAGAGATGTATTTGGATTTAAGATAAAATCACTCAACTAAATGTAAGGAGTAAAAATAGAAGATGAGCTAAATTATTTTGAATTAAGACTTCTGGAAAATTAAGTCTAGTCCAAAAGACCGGCCCGTAACTTCTCCTAAATTATATTACGAGGCCCAGCCCAATCATGACTCACGAGTTTTAGAAGGTTGGATTAGGAGCTCAAGGCCAATCATGTCTATACCTTTTCGGATGAGAAGATTCTATAAATAATTAGACTTTAAAATCTCAAAAAAAAATGTTATAAGTTTTAAATTTACTACTAAATAAATGATTAAATATTTCACATGAGCGTAGTGGGGACCTCACACCCACGTGAGATATTACTCAAGCCCAAAACCTTATGGGCTGACGATTAGACGGCGGGCCGATTTTACGGGCCGTTCAAAATTGATCAATCGAGTCTTACACTTTCGCGCACGCTGCACCCTCACACACCCGATCTCTCTCTCCCTCTCTCTCTCTCTCTCATTCTCCGCCTTCCGCCGCCGCCGCCTTCTGTGACCGCCTCCCAGCTCCGCTACTCCTCCTCCACCGTCACCGCCAGGTACCCCTTACCTCCCACTTCTGTGGGTTTTTTTAAATTTGCTTAATTTGTTCAAAGATATTGGATTTAATTTGGAATATCTGGTGTATATATGAATGGTTGATTAGTGTCAAATGGTTTTTTAAATTATATGTTTTTCTTTAGTTTTGCTCAATTAATTTCCTGATGTATATGTATGGCTTATTGAACTATGGATATTTGATGTATATGAGTGGCTTTTTCATGTTACTGAATCTCTGAGTTTTATATATAGGTATGTATGCTGTTCTTAAGGACAGATTGACCGAACCAATTTGAACTCTAGTAATTCTATTTGGTTTGTATCATCATTTCCCATTTTGGGTTTTTTAAAATTTATGGAATTCAATGGGTTAAGGAATTAGGCTTGATCAAAGAATTTTTGAATTTCAGTTAAGCCTGTTTGGACAATGCATTTGAAGGAAGGATGTTCCTTGCTGCTAAAAGTACACAGACCTTCAATTCCTTTTGTGCTCAATACAAACCCCATTCTCAATCCTATCCTTGATAATGAGGTGAATTCTAATCCAACCAGTGTTAAAGAATATGATGTTCTAAAGAGGTTGAGGCACGAGCGTGACCTCACGCTAGCATTAGAGTACTTTAAGTCTCTGGCAAATTCAAGATCTTTCAAACATACTCCTCTGACATACCAAACTATGATTGAAAAGCTTGGGTGCAGAGGTGAGATGGAAATTGTTCAGTATCTTTTGCAGCAAATGAAGTTGGAAAGCATTAGTTGCTCGGAAGACTTGTTTATTAGCGTGATAAATTCTTGTCGGCGAGCTGGGGCTGCCGAGCAAGCACTGAAAACATTTTATAGGATGCAAGATTTTGGGTGTTCCCCAACAGTCAAAATTTATAATCACCTTTTGGATGCGTTGCTTAATGAGAATAGGTTTCATATGATCAACCCTATATATAGTCACATGAAGAAAGATGGGTTGGAACCCAATGTGTATACATATAATATTCTTTTGAAGGCGTTGTGCAAGAATAATCGGGTGGATGGTGCTCATAAGTTGCTTGTAGAAATGTCAAATAAAGGATGCTCTGCTAATGCAGTGAGCTACACAACGGTTTTATCTTCTATGTGTAAGCTTGGTAAGGTGAAGGAAGCAAGGGAGATTGCTGCAAGGTTCGCCCCTATTGTACCTGTTTATAATGTTTTGATCCATGGGTTGTGTAGAGAATCCAATATTGAGGAGGCATTTGAGTTGTTGAATGAGATGGTGGATAAGGGAATAGATCCTAATGTGATCACGTACACAACGATCGTCAATGCTCTTTCTGATGCAGGGAATGTTCATCTGTCTCTTGCAGTTTTGTCACACATGTTTAAGATAGGATGTAGTCCCAATATTCATACCTTTAGTTCCTTGGTAAAGGGTTTTTTCTTAAAAGGGAGATCTTATGAAGCTCTTGACGTGTGGGACCAAATGATTCGAGAGGGAATCAGGCCCAATGTTGTTGCATACAACACACTGATACATGGTCTATGCTCTGTTGGTAATGTGGGCAAAGCTGTAGCTGTTACTAATCAAATGGACATTAATGACTGCTCTCCTGATGTAACAACCTACAGCATTCTTATTGATGGCTTTGCAAAAGCTGGGAACTTGGTTGGTGCATCCGAGACGTGGAACAAGATGATTACCCATGGTTGCCATCCAAATGTTGTGGCATATACAAGCATGGTTGATGTCCTTTGTAGGAATCTCATGTTTGACCAAGCCCATTGTCTTATAGAGAATATGGTGATGGAAAATTGTCCACCTAATGCCGTTACATTTAATACGTTTATTAAAAGTTTATGTTGCAGTGGTAGAGTAGATTGGGCAATAAAGTTGCTTTATCTAATGGAAGAATATGGATGCTTGCCAAATATCACGACGTATAATGAAATATTGGGTGGTCTTTTCAAAGAAAACAATTTTGAAGTAGCGTTTGAACTGGTTAAGGAGATGGAAGAAAGGGGGTTCGAGCTTAATTTGGTGACGTACAACACTATTATCCATGGCTTTTGTTATGCTTGTATGCTTGAGGAGGCTCTGAAGCTTGTTGGAAAGATGGTGGTCAGGGGAATAAAGCCTGATCCTTACACTTTTAACATAATAATCAACGCCTATTGTAAGCGTGGTAAGATTGAGTTTGCAATTAAACTGCTAAATTCGATGAGAGCAGTAGGCTGGCATCCAGACTTAGTTTCGTACACAAGTATTATGCGTGGGATTTGTGACTTTATTGGTTTGGAAGAAGCCAATGTTTATCTTCACAGGATGGTAAATGAAGGAATTTTCCCTAACACTGCCACATGGAACGTTTTGGTGCGGTTTTTGCTTAGTAAGGTAGGTTTTTCAGGGGCAACGGGTTTTCTAGACAGTATCTTGGATGGGTAGATATCATACAAGAGCACAAAATGGCTTCTGGACAATTGAAGTAGCAGCCGAGTATGTAAATTTTGGATGATATTTCCTTGTTGAGAAGACTGCACTGTCCAATGACCGTGCATGAGCCCAGAACTCAGGAAGTGGAGGGGATGACTTTGCTTAGGCTCATTCACAGGGTAAGTATGCTTTCCTCTCAGTGATCCTCAGTCCTCTATATCATGTTACTCCTGTTAATTTCACGGTATTTTGCATTGGATAACTTGAGTGGTTTTTATCTTAGTGACCACCGACCAGCATATAGAATATGTATTTTTTTGTTCTGTTAGCCAAAGCATTTCCTAGGAACTGGAAGCTTCATTGGCTAAAAGTTTTGAACCATTTTTTTGGATGCAGATTTTCAGCTCTAATTGCCGCAGCTTGTATAGTAAACTCTGGCAGATAACTCCACAATAGCATCCCTCTTCTTGATGATGGTATGCAATGCTCGTCTCACTTTCAATGAAGAATATTGTTTCCTTTTCTTTTTCAAATTTTTTTTTTTTTAAATTTATTTATTTTCTTGTTTTCCTGGTCAGATAGCTTTTGATTTTGGATTTCTGGAATCAGTTTGCTCAGGTGGTCTTCCCTTATGTTCCCTAACATTCAAAGTTGTTCTGGTTTGAGAAAGAAGCACTGGCTGAGCGCCCTGAATGAATAAGAAATGTATGGCAAAGGGAATCAATGATTATTATTCAACTGAGTTGAAGCTAGCAACATTTTGCTCATGCATAGTGGTTAACTTGGTGGATCAAAATTCTCTCACGCTCTTTCTAAATTGTAACAACAAAAAAGAAAAAGAAAAAATAGAACTGAAATGAATGCTTACATGGAGAACTGGAATTACAAATTTGTCAAAAGAGGTTATCTACTAGTTTTATCTGAATTTGTTGGGATTTTCCTTTGTTTTGGCTTTATAAATCTCATTTGAAATTTGTGGCGATTTTTTTATCATTAAAATGTACAAAAAGAGGTATCGAAGTAGTTGATTGACTGTTTTCTGGGGATTTTCGATTTATTTCATTGGAAATTACCTTATTTCACCAAAGAAATCCCTTTAATTTGACATTTATCTGATAATGGACAGATCTGTTAGTGTGTTCTACAACCAACCAAGAGTGTATCATTTACTTTTTCCCCATCAATTATGCAAAATGGTTAGATTTGCAGATGAGTCGCTCTCTTCCCAAATTTGACATACATAATGTAATTTCCCCTATTTCTCTAATATATACATGTAGTTGCATCATGATAAAAATGCATTTCCTCCAAAGAAAAAATGATATCCTTACAGAATTTAAAACTAATAACCCTGTTTGATTTTCAGTTTTAAAAGTAGTTTTTTGAATTTTCAATTAGTATTTTTATATTTTTAATGAGTTTTTTTTATATATTTTAATTAATTTTTTAAAAAAATTTAGATTTACTTAATATTAATATACTCAAAAAGTAAAAAATTGTACAATAATTTTTTTTAAAAAAAAAATCATTAAATACACAATTTTTGTATTTTTTTATATTTTTTATATTTGATGATTTTTTTTAAAAAAAAAAATTCACAAATATTATATTTTTTAAAAGTATTTAAATTAGGTACATCTAAAAAATATTTAAAAAAAATTGCATAAAATATTTAAAAAATTCATTAAAAATAAAAAATAAATAAACAAATAATTCAATTTTCTGAAGCCAAACATGGTGAATATACTTTTGATATATGTAAACTTCAAACTAATACAACGTGTCCTGTATGTTTTTATAGGAGATGAAGAGGGCAGAAAAGCTATACATACAAACTCTCTATAATGTGGGCTCAATGGGAACAAGGAATTGAGTCCATACCACTGGTGTACAATTAGCCAAGTTAAATATCCCTCCGGGCCTTCATTATGAAAAACAAAAAAAGACTATAGGCAGCCTAAATACGAGTCTCTGCGCCCCATTTATCAGGATCACAAATGTTTTACCCTACTATTGTGACAAGGTTGTGAGCTAACTTGCAAAGTGCTCACCATTAATGCTTCTTCCCTTTCTTCTTCCGCTTGCCAGAACTGCTGCCGCCACCATTCTTGGAGAAATTCTGATCTCCAGCAGCTGGACTCTCACTTGAAGTGCTGCGAGCAAAATTTTCAAAAATGCCTGTTTGCGCTGCATTCTGTAACCACTCAAAGAACTCTGCTGGTATGCTTTCTTCAAGATTAGGTGATGCACCTCCTCTTTGCCCTGCGCTACCGCTGTTGTTATGCTTTGACGCTAAACTTGTGTTCACATGGAAGCTTGGCTTGTGAGTATTGACCAGACATCTCATCCCCTGCAACAACAAAGGCACTTTCAACATGATATATGCAACACGTGTGTGTAGTCATATGCACAGTGGTATACGCATTGTGTAATATAGAACCCAACTTAAGTCATAACAAATACCTAATCTGCCATTTATTTATTTATTTTTTAAAAAAGAAAAACAGGAAGAAAAAAAGAAAGAATGATCTCATTTCAAAACCTGTAAAACCACTCATTTGACTTCCATGGTACATCCCGAGACCCCAATGGAGTACTGCTCCTCCATATAGAGAATACTTCATTTTTTATTGCTAATTGCTTGGTGTATTAATTATTCATCTGAAACTTGCACTTATTCGCTTTCATTTACTTCAGTCCTGACATGAAAGCACAATACATTTTCTGGCAGTTCAAACAAACCTAAATGCAGTCTAATTGGTTAGAGTTTATACAATAGGTTTTCTAATTTCCTTGATTCAAATCCCACTTTGAGTAAATACATGATGAGTGCTAGAAATCCCAGAAGACATCAATTCAGCCAATCAGAAGGAAAATCTTCACCTGACAAATATACCATTCAGTTGCATTATATATCTTGCTATCAGCACAAACATATGCACAAGCATCTACCTGCACATTATTAATACATGAGTAGTAGTGCATCAAAAGAAAGAAAAAGAAAGACAAACTTCAATACAGCAAATACTTAAACACATAGTTTGTCTGTCTTCCATGGATTTGTACCTTCTGCAATATTCCGAAAAAGAATGGTTGGGAAGATTGTTCAACCCATCCATCTCCATCTTTAGCTTGATGAAAATCTTTGCAATCCTACAGAATGGGAACCAAATTTAGTCAGAAAAATCTCTTTTCTTGCCAACAGAACATGCTGTAACTAGAAACCTGGAGCAGGTCTTCCAACATGCTAATACAGTCAGTCCCAACTTTCATAGATGCACAATAATCGAAAGCCATGCAGATAGTCAGAATGAAAGGAAAAACCTGGCACCATCTTGCGGTAGATTTAGATTTTTTGGTGTGAATCCAAACATGAAAATCTCCACACTTTCTACAGGCAATCTGCCTAGACTCTCCAAGAGGGTCCTCACCATCAGCATCTGTATCCGCAAATCCAGAGGCAAAGAATCTATTCCTTCCATTCTGAGCAATCAATTGCTGAAAGCTTAGGCAAAATGAAGACAGATATACAAACTAAAGAATAAATGGTGATATAGACAGTGCCTACTGGAAGGTTCTCTGGAGATTCATGATGTCAAAACTAACAAGAAAGCTTACATCTTACAGTTCTCAACTGTTCTGAATAGACATCATATGTTGGACATTTATGAAATCACAAAAAGAGACATTAGATTCCTTGGAGAAATTGGAGACTCCACATATCCACATACATTAATGGAAAGAAAAACTCACCCAAAGTATACAAGTTGCCAATTTACAGGGTATTTCTAAACCATAATTATTTGGAGGCACTGCATGCATTGATTATTGGCAGCAAAACAAACCAGTTACAAATGGGAATTATATCCTTGACTAGAGGATTTCAAGGACTTTAATAGGAAGATCATTCCCTATTGCACTTCATAATTATATCGTTAACAAGAGGATTTCAAACATAGATGCCAAAGGTAATTTGTATAGATAAATCCAAATGGTCTTCACGCAACAAGTAAATCAGACAATCCTCAATTGCAAACATCATAGATAAAGAAAAACAATAATGAATTTAACTTGTCAGAGATGGGGGGAGGCAAGGATTTAAATATTGGCCTATACGTAACGGATTTTGGACTTCTGATATAATTATTCACTGATATATCAGTCAATACTATCCAATATTGGCTGACATATAACCATGATAGGATGATTCCTGGAATTCTTTCTATTGCCACAGCCAGTAGGGGTGGCAAACTGAAAGGAAAATTTCAAGTTCCAAATCAATCTACACTGGTTTCAGACTAGCTAACAATTGAATGCAGACAGTGAAGGACAATAGAAAGAATCCCAGGAGTCATCCTATGAGATATAGAAAATCTCATTTGATACCTTGAAGAAACCACTCCTTATAGAAACTTAACCTCACACAAGAACTACGCTTTAAGAAAATGTAATCCAAGGGTTAAGTATGATTCTCCATATAAAAATTCGAAGTAAAAGGTCACCACGGCAATTAAGACACATGCTTAAAATTCTACATTGGCTTAACAACAAACATTATGACATGAAAAGTTACTTGACAGTTGACACAAAAACTGCCACTGCCACTGCCAGAAAGAGAGAGTTCAAGAAGTTAATTGCAGTGAATCCTGAAAAAAAATGAAGACGATAGATATTCAAACCTTTTGAGAAGCATTTTGAAACCTACGGAAGCAGTTCAGGAGCTCCTCCCTCCTTAATTCATCATCATATGTTTTTCGCTTAAAAGAATCAAGTAAAACCTAAAGAAAAGAATCCCATCATACAGTCAGGAAAGGAAAACAGGAGAGGAAATTAAAAATAATTCAAAAAATGAAGAGAAAAATGGAACCAACAACATGTACCTCATAAGCATTCTGGAGTTTTTTAAAAGCTTCCGCAGCCTTTTCATTGCCCATATTTTTATCAGGATGGACCAACATCGCCTGAGAACCAAAGCAAAAAAGCTTAATTAAGAAGCTATCTATATACAATGAATTTATCTAATTTCACCCCATGGAGCATACAACAATCGACTGGCAAACCTATTAAAATTTCCTAGAGAATAGCATAAGTGAACTACAGTGAGGTGGAAGTACATCACAATAATTCCATTTCTGCAAGCAAAATATTAAACTAACCTTTTTCCTATATTCCTGCTTGAGTATAGAGACATCTACATTTTCATAACGGAACAGGCCCAACACTGAATAATGATCTGTACAGTTCAACAACCTAACAACTTCCTCTTCAGATGTTATCTCAGAATCAGTCCCTCTGGTGGAAGGTACTCCAGAGCTACGATCAGCTGATAGACCAGAACCAGTTTCAGGGGATGAAGGCTCTGGCCCACTACGGAAGAAGCCTGGTTGACCTTGCATTCCAGCCGTTTGTTCAGGGGACTGATGGGGCCTCCTATGCTCATTTATGTTGTCCTTCAGGAAGAATATTAGAGCATCACTTGAGATGAAAGACAAGTTCAAAGCCAAAATTAAACCAAGCCACCCAACACATGTCCACGCACAGTATACAGAATACAAAGTTGTTATTAACAACGCAAGCCGTTCATGGCTCAACATGAATGTCAACCCTACAATTTAAAGAAGCACCACCTTAGTTCCAGAACTGAACATAAATAGAGAGAAGATGGCAGTCAAGCTCACAGAAAGGCCAAAACGATCACCTCCAGAGCAGATAACAAGTGCTGTTGTCCAAAAACTTCCACAAAACCACAAGAAAATGATTCCAGAAATGGCAATTAACAGAATCGCAATGGTGAATCCAATAAGAAGTCCTGTTAAAGCCGTTATTACCTGAATAATTATGAGCATTTTCTCAATAAGTTAAGGACCAAAATCAACAGAAGAAAAACCAAACCAGAAAGGAAGGGCCCATGCACAAATAAATTTAAAAATTAATTTTACCTTATAAAAGAGAAATAAAATATATATATATATTTTGTTTTAGATAGTAGAAATAAAATAGTTAAGTCAGGGTGTAACTAGGGCTTACCAGGACCACGACAAACTTGAACATTCCAATCATTTCAATTATCGACAGAACACTACACCATATAACTGAGAAGAAGGATGTTGTACCCATGCGTAGAAAGGAGTTAATGCCTCTGATGGTACAGTCCAACCAAACCATTGGCAAAAGAAGCATTATGTTCCCAAAATACATGAGCCATCTCAAGACAATTGGATATGCATGATCAATCTTCTTCCACACATAACAAGCAGCATTTGATACATTGTTTGTGACAGTGATAAACAACGGTTTCTGCCTCTCTAGGCATTCAGTAGCTGCCTTCAAAATGGATAAAGCTGAAGCCCTCAAGTGCCTGAAAACGAGAGCATCTGACGATTCTAAATTACCCATTGTATCATCTGTGTGCAATCCATTTGGCGGGACACCATGATTACCGTTAGAATACTTTGGTCTCCCATTTTCTTCCCTCGAACCAGAAGCTTCCATTCTAAAAACATTTTCTATGCAATCTCCTGAATTACTGTCACAAGGCAGCGGTTGCTCTACTCCCTGTGTTGCACCTATACCTTGCTTCTCTTTCCTCGGAAATTTCTTGGACTTTTGCTTGTTTTTGTTCTCGTCTCCTATATGATCAGTTTTGTTCACACTCTCAGAAATAGGTACAGTCGGCTGGTTACCATTTGGGAGTTTGCGATCCAACCCATTCTTTTGTAGGTTTCCCTTCCGAGCCATGAAATATAATTTATAAGCTATTATCCAAAGGGTATGCCAATTTAATCCATTTCTGGTTACATTAATAGATCCATTCTCCGAAAATTAGAATCCATGGTAAATGTTAAACCTACCACCATAAAATTTGGACAATTAGTCTATATAATTAGTAGGCATGATTAATGCAGCAAAAAGCAACAGCAGCATATGGAGAAACGTCAGCACTCTCTTGATAATTACAAACTAAGAAGTTTATGTTATGACAATGGTAGCATGGGGTATGCACATCCATCAATCACACAAATAAATGAAACTACCAATTTATCATTCCCCAGCACAACTTTAATGCTATAGCATAATGTTAGGCCCTTGTAAGTAAAATAAACCATTTCCCCTTTTGTTTACGCAAAAAATTATCCTCAATGTAAAACCAAATAATTTTAAAACTGAAGGGGATAGCAGGGTAACTCAAAGAAATAAAGAAAAATCGCCCAATGCCCCCAGGAAAATGCTCAAAATAATTTCCACACTGGAAATCCCATGACTACCTGAAGCAACCAACAAATTGCTCACTTTGGGAAGGAAAAACCACATACTTCCAAGCAAAACAATGAAGGCAAAGAAAGAAATATCAAAAATGCCTTACAACTATCCTGTATCTAAATGACACACAAGCATGCATACAGATAGGGAGAGTTCAATAAATGCCTCGGGTAATCCCCGCACAATCTAATAACTTTCTTGTCATTGGTACATAATTTGGAAATAAGTAGAGAACAAGCTCAGCTTTATAAGAAATATCCATTCTCTAAAGATCTCTACTTTGCGCGCACTTCATTTTAAGCCAAGATTGTATCTTGCAAGGGGTGTTCCATTCTATGGAATGCATTTTCCTAAGGAAAACAAATATACCGACACATTTCATCACCGGAAATTATTGTACAACTGAAAGGGATGCCAAACACTTCAAGAAAGACAATTCAGCAATGGGAATAGATTATAAAATGCACATAATCCATACATAACAACATAATACAACGATCCCATCATTCAGAATGCATTGCAATACAAAAAACTCGAACACCAAAGCTAATTCACAAGCAAAAATGCACAAAGCCCCAAGAGTAATCCACTTAGTTATATCACCAAAACCTACAAATTACAATATAGACAATTCAAAAAAAGCAGCATTTAGTAAAATACACAATAGAGGGTAAGGTAAGTTGGAGTAGAGAATACAAAGAAAAAAGGAATAAGTATTGTGCATATATATATATATATATCAAAGGAAATGAAGATTGAAGAATCCTCCTTGTGTTTTAAACCCAACATACTCATTTCATGGTTCTTGAAACTAGGTCGGACCCTCCTCGTGCTCCAAACCCTAGAATACCTGTTTCTGCTTATGTATATACGTATGCTTACCAGAAAGAGGAGGTGATGGTGAGAAGTGATCGAAGAGAAGAGAGTCCGCGCAACCCACAGGCAGTGAGAGAGAGAGAGAGAGGGCAGTCTCTGTTTCAGTTTCTCCTCTTCTTCGGGTTTTTCAGGGAGGGGTCAGGGAGGGTAGTGCCACGCGGCCCACACTGTGCTGTTCAACGTTCAAATACTTTAATTTTTTTATTTCATATTTTACTATAATACAAAAAAAAATTTAAAAAAATCGCTTCTTAAATCAGCCCTTAAACTTGTTTGGGTAAAGAATTCACTGAGAGAAAAATAGAAGAGTCGACAAAACTGAATAAAATATAACTTAGGTTTTCTATTTTTTTTTAAATTTAAGTTTGGACAAAAAATAAAAATATTTTTCTTTTCTATATTTGTTTGAATAAGTACTAAGACTACCTCCAACCGTGTATATCAAACTCATCATCAAATTTAAATTTGATGAAAAAAGTATTCTTTTCAACTTTAAAAGTTTCATCAAATCGGTATCCAATAGAAGATTTCACTTTTTCTTTTATCAAATTAAGGACCAACTTTTCTTTCATTAAATCACTGTTCATTTTCATTGTCGAATGTCTCCCGAATGTCCTCCCGAATAACCACTTTAAGGTAAAAAAGAGTGAAAAAATTACACTAATCGATCGACTGTCTCAACGCAAAAAAAGAAAAAAGAAAAAAATTTATACTGACCGGTTGCCTGGTGCTATGATGAAACTTTAAAATTCTCTATTAAAACACTTGATATCAAAAGAAACTTTTATTTAAATTCATTAAAAAAAATTAATACACCATTAAAGATGCTCTAATAAAGAAAAAGATAGCATCAACTGTATAAGAGAGAGAGGGAAAAAAAAATCTTATATATTTTGTCAAAATATCTGTTTTAATATAGGGGTATTTTTTTTAAGGTACCTGATATTATGATTTTACAGTATAAAGGACATCAAATATTTTCATGATGTCTAAGGTCCCTCAACATCAATCCAGAAAAAATTGGTCCAGAGAAAATTCAAGTCAGAGAAAATTGATCCAGATAAATTTTTCTTAGCCTTTCATGGACTCCAGAGAAATTTCTGCCGTGGGTTTGATCCTCCACCATTGTTGCTACTGTTGTTACCATCTCCACTGCCACTCGAATCTCAGATCTGATATGAGAAACTGGACAATGCGTTTAGGTGAAAAGGAGTTGCCTGTGTCTAAGAATACAACTTTTCCCATTTTCGCAACATTTAATGCATCTTGTAGGCAAACTTAAACAATTATAAGATTTTGTATCATCGATACTGCAGTGGTGATCATAGGAGATGGTTTGCAAATCCCCTCCAAAATATCTGACATATAAATGGCTTATTGGAATCCCATATTCAGAACCAGCCATTGTTGCTACATTGGCTGTTCCAAGTTCTGACAACTCATCCATGAGATTTTTGGCAGTACTGTAAAGATATGTAAACATTTCTCTAGATTCCTAGAATTTCTCTGGAGGAAGAAGATGATGAAGGCTTGAGTTAAAAATTTATCTAAGAAGCCTAGAATTTATCTGAAGAAAAATTTCTCTGAAGAGAAATTTCAATTTTCTCTAAACAAAGTCAAAGAAATTTATGAATAGAGTCAGAGAAATTTCAATTTTCTCTGAGTAATTTTCTCTGCCTTGTTTAAAATTGTGAACAACACAGAGAAATTTTTCTCTGGTTTGATTAAAATAATTTCTTTGAACTCACTCTTCCCAGAACCCATTTTCTTTGTTAAGAAAATAGTTTATCTCAGTAGCCTCACTGTATAACTGAGACTCAGATCCTATTGAAGCCTCCTCCACCATATTGGTCAGAGTTCCTAATTTAGAAAATAACCGGAATGCATTCTAAGCCGCGGTCTCCAAATTGAGTAATGCTTCTTTGCATGCCATGATTGTAATTTGCTTCTCACATCCCTCAAAATTAAAATTCGGCTGGTTGATGATATTTTCAAGTTCAAGGTTCCCTGAATTGTCCGTGGCAAAGCAATTGGCTGAATCACTTTGCAAGATAACGCCAGCCGAGCTCTCCAACTTTGGCATCAAGTTCTTTATGAAAAATGACATAGGAGCAAGCAAGTAATAACATCTTAATAACAAAACTCAGAAGCACATTTAATCAAAACTAACTAGGAAAGTTTGGATAACTTCAGTTGCGAGTGAATGGATTCATGCCTGTGTTTTACAAGATGACGACGAACACCAGAGAATTTCTCTGGATTTAAAACTAGAGAAATTTTCTGCATCACCAAAAAAAAAAAAAAAAAAAAAAAAAAAAACAACAACAATCCAGAGAAATTCTGTTTTTGGTCTTTGAAATTTCTCTGGACACTTCAACCCAGAGAAATTCAATTGGGTTGATCCAGAGCAACTGTGGGGGGCCGACTGGAACGAGGTCGAGGTGGTGAGTGACGGCGAAGTTCTTCAATGGGAACTTCTTTCAGTGGAAGAAGAGGTTGGAGAGGAGGAGACAGAAATCGATCGACGCAAAGAAAGAGAGAAGTTGGTGTGGGTTCGGTGAGAGCTGAGAGGAGAGGAAAGAGTGTGAGAGAGAGCTGTCGAAGCCATTGATGTATGAGCAGAGAAGAGAGAGAGAGAGAGAGAGGAGAGAAAGTCAATTTCTCTGATATATATTTAGGGACCTTAGACATCAAAAAATAATTTTGTGGATCTCTTTCATTACGAAAAGTGGGAGAAGGACCCTAGACCGATTTTCCTTTAATATATATATATATATATATAATATTTAGAGGAGTAGTTCAATACAATTAAAAATCAATATTATACGTTTTCTTTTCTTCAAATCGTTACACATTTTAGACTTTCGTTACAATAGAAAATAGCACATTTTGAGACATTTAAGGGTAACTTTTTTATTATTATCATTATTCTTTCTCATTTGGCCTCATTTAGGTGGAGGATTTGAATTAAAATAATTTATTAAAAAATAAAATAAATTAAAATAGTCAATAAGATAAAATATTACATTCAATCTATAATTATTTTATTTTTCCTTCCACAACCAACAAATCAACTTCAAAAAAAAAAAAAATCAACAAACTTTCCAAACATAATTTTTTAGTCAAACTAAAATAACTAAAAAGTCAAATAACTAACTTCCCAAACAAGGTCATGTCATTTCTTTTCTCGTTAGTTACTCGAATATGTAATTAGAACATCCACATTAGCCTCACCGAATGTAGTTTGGTTAAATATAACTAGCAAATCACAAAATTCTTACTTCATTAGTCTCAATAAATTATTTTTAAATTAGTTTTTGGTTAATTTTGTTACAGTACCTTTACAAATTTGTTGAGATACTATTTATTAATTATTCAATAATTTATCATTTTTTTGATAAATTTGACCTCACTTTTTAAAAAATTCTTAAGTATTATTCATTGAAAAGATATTTAAAAATTATTTAAATACAAAAAATAAATATTTTAATAAAATAGAATTTTATAATAGAGAGTTGAAGGAGTGTGTATGTAAGAAAAAAGCTAACTAAAATATAAAAGTGCTTTTTGAGTTATAATTTTATTCAAAATTTGTTAAGACTAATGTGAATGATGTTAGAAATAAAAATACATTTATCACTGTTTATTTTCTTTCTTAATTTGTTAACATTTGTGATTATTTAATACTGTTTATAGTAATCTATGAAGAGAAAGATTTTAACTAAAATATGAAAGTGTTTTTTAAGTTATTTTGATTCAAAATTTGTTAAGACTAATATAGATATTGTTAATGTACGGATATAGAAAAATACCGTATTTGATGATAAAGAAATTTAACAAATAAGATAATCAGCACCACCACATGATCGTTATCTGCAAGACAAAACACTTCCAACTGCAGCCAAGGCCCTCTGATGCCCAAGTCAGTCCTCCAATATTATCAAAATATTTAATGGACTAATTCATAGAGAGAAATCGCATAACTCAACCCATAAGGGTGTTACCTATTTATAATATCCAGTGACTTACTTCTCAAGTAATTTGAGTGTTCTATAACAAACAATCTTCGGTTGTTCAGAACTTGTATATCGATAAGATTTCATATCCTGATAAGTTTTGCATAACATAAAACGCTAATGCAGTGTTTGATAAGAATTTAATAACTGTTATACACATGATAATTTATAATTACATCACGTGGCACTGTCAAAACCCACATAATTCCTGTAGTTATTTTTATTCCCTCTCAATTGCCCCCAAGCTTTCATTCTCTTTGAATCCAGTGAAAGAGTAGAAGCTTTCTGTTGTTCTAATAAAAATAGTCGTGTAATATTGTCTAGCTAGAACCATACATGCGTGCTAGGACTTATTCCAAAATGCCTAGCTTTGTTGAAACTTATTCTTAGAATGCCTAATCTTGTTAGGAATTATTTCGAAAATGCCTAGCCATACTAGGACCTATTCCGAAAATGCCTAACCTCATTAAGACTTATTCCAAGAACGCTTGATCTCGTTAGGACTTATTCTGAAAATGTCTATCCTTACTAAGACTTATTCCAAGAACGCTTAATCTTGTTAGGAACTACCAAAACACCAACTTGCTTATTGGCAAGCAAAACCAGCTCGGCAAGGAATCCCACTATTGGACAAACCACCAACCTACTCTACAAAAATTTCAAAGTTGGTCAAACCTGCCAACCTACTTCGCTAAGTAAAACCCGCTCGACAAAGACTTTTTAAGTTGGTCAAACTTGCCAACCTCCTTTGCTCAACAAAGATTTTCAAAATTGGTCAAACTTGACAATCTACTTCACAAAGCAAAACCCACTCGATAAAGATTTTTCAAGTTGGTCAAACCTGCCAACCTACTTTGCTCGACAAAGATTTTCAAAATTGGTCAAATCTGCCAATCTACTTCACTAAGCAAAACCCGCTCGACAAAGATTTTTCAAGTTGGTCAAACCTTCCAACCTACTTTGCTCGACAAAGATTTTCAAAATTGGTCAAACCTGCCAATCTACTTCACCAATCAAAACCCGCTCGACAAAGATTTTTCAAGTTGGTTAAACATGCCAACCTACTTTGCTCGACAAAGATTCTCAAAATTGGTCAAACCTGCCAATCTACTTCACTAAGCAAAACCCGCTCGTCAAAGATTTTTCAAGTTAGTCAAACCTGCCAAC